GCATGTTGAAATGCGTTTTTATTACAAAATATCTGCAAAATATTTTTCAAAATACATTTAAAATATACCGTATGTCTTTAAAAATACAAATCTACATTTTTGGAATTCATTTACAAATATATGTAAAAAATATATGTTAAAATTACTTTTTTATATATTAAAAAAATCTGAAGAATATATTAAAAAATATATAAATTTCAAAAATATTTTTCATATATTTTGTAATATATAAAAACGCATTTCAACATGCAGTATGTATGTATGTATATATATATGTATGTGTGTATATATATATATATATATATATATATACTGCATGTTGAATATATATATACTGCATGTTGAATATATATATATACTGCATGTTGAATATATATACACCACCATGCATGTTGAATATATATATATACTGCATGTTAAAATGCAGTTTTTGTATACTGGGAGTTTTAGACTACTGGGAGGAGGGGGGGGGGGGGAACAACTTCCGCTTCCAATCGCCTAGGCGTTCGCAGCGGAAGTGGGAGCGGGTACCTGTAAAATTTGGGTATACCCTCTCCTCCGCTCACCAAAGGTGCCAATCCTTAACTTAACGGGGAGTGGGGGGACAAAGCCTTAAAGCAGAACTTTGGGGGAGGTCCGCTTTAAGTGCACAGTGTACTAACAAAAGTGAGGAGCAAGTTTCCCACAGATGTTTAATTTTGTGGGTGGTGGCAGCTTAGATATTAACATCAGGGGCGGACTGACAACTCATGGGGCCCCCGGGCAATAAGGGATCATGGGGCCCCTGTGTCCTTGCCCAAACTCAAAAAAGCCTATGAAAAAGGTATCAGGGGCATCTCATGGGGCCCCCTACTAACCCCGGGCCCTCGGGCAGTGCCCGAGTTTCCAAATGGTCAGTCCGCCCCTGATTAGCATGTGCTTGTGTATAGCTATTTATTTATTTATTGGCCACTACTTTAAACTGGTACTACATCAACACAAAAATAAAAAAAATTTAAATTGGGCCCCTTGCAGGTTTAAGTCACAATGTATTAGTATGTACCTCATAATAGCACATTATGACAGACGTACAGTACCTGCACATGGAGCCCTTCAGTGCAGCCCTGTCACGGTTCCCCGACACTTCTATGTTCACCCAATCTTCCTTCCAGGTTCACAGGCTCTGGCTGTATGAATGGCCGAGGCCACAATGGCATCACTCCCAGCACAGAGCTCTGTGACATCACCAGTTGCATCCCGTGTGAGTATTTCCTAAACAGTGCAAGTCTGGGAGATATTCACTGTACCTGCCAGTAAGCCTTTTTATAGGCCTACCTGTAGATAAAAGCTAAAACGTGAACTTTACTTCCTCTGTAATATCTGGACCTCACAGATCATCTGGGCTCCCTCGTCCCTGTACCCCTCTTCTTTGTAATGTCTGGACCTCACGGATCATCTGGGCTCCCTTGTACCTGTACCCCTTTTCTTCTGTAATGTCTGGACCTCACGGATCATCTGGGCTCCCTCGTACCTGTACCCCTTTTCTTCTGTAATGTCTGGACCTCACGGATTATCTGGGCTCCCTTGTCCCTGTACCCCTCTTCCTCTGTAATGTCTGGACCTCATGGATCATCTGTGCTCCCTCATCCCTGTACCCCTTTTCTTCTGTAATGTCTGGACCTCACGGATCATTTGGGCTCCCTCGTCCCTTTACCCCTCTTCCTCTGTAATGTCTGGACCTCACGGATTATCTGGGCTCCCTCGTCCCTGTACCCCTCTTCTTCTGTAATGTCTGGACCTCACGGATCATTTGGGCTCCCTCGTCCCTTTACCCCTCTTCCTCTGTAATGTCTGGACCTCGCGGATCATCTGGGCTCCTTCATCCCTGTACCCTCTTCCTCTGTAATATCTGGACCTCATGGATCATCTGGGCTCCCTCGTCCCTGTACCTCTCTTCCTCTGTAATGTCTGGACCTCACGGATCATCTGGGCTCCCTCATCCCTGTACCCCTCTTCCTCTGTAATGTCTGGACCTCATGGATCATCTGGGCTCCCTCGTCCCTGTACCCCTCTTCTTCTGTAATGTCTGGACCTCACGGATCATTTGGGCTCCCTCGTCCTTTTACCCCTCTTCTTCTGTAATGTCTAGACCTCACGGATCATCTGGGCTCCCTCGTCCCTGTACCCCTATAGCTTGGAAAGTGATGAAATAAATGATATGTGGGGCAAGACGGAACAGAAATGGGAAGGGTGTATATTTCTCAGAAGCAGGACTTGTTATGTAAAAGCAAAAAGACATCAGGGAGGTGTAATACAGGAGATGTGAAGTTGTAAAGGGCTAACAAATGTGGTGAGACTGAGAGGTAAGATGGTAGGAACAAATGTGTTTTTAGGAAACAGCTTTTATAGAAACTAGCTTCAGAACTAATTGGGACAAAACAGTAGTGTGGTGGTGGGCTGATATGTTGTAGAAAAAAGGGAATGTGTTTATTTTGGTTGTAAGACCTGATCTACTACATATAGGAGACTCTATTGTTTTCTTTTGGGTAAACTGCTGTGGGGGGTGGCAGGAGATTGTCTGACAAAGGATTGGTCTGAGAGTCCTTGACTGGAATAGGTCATAGTCACAGATGTTTTAAAGTATGGCAATAGACATTAGATTGTATGTTCAATATACACAACATTGAGTGACCATACCAGGTAAAATATCAAAACATACCTCTGTGTGAGACCACAAAGCATGTTTTTTTAATCGTTCCCTACATTGTGCATCAAGATCTCTACACAAAATAACCAAGTGAAGAAATAAATTGAGCATTTTCCTTCTGTATGTGTTTTTTTTTTTTTTTGTTTTGTTACTTTATGTCTATCTGCAGTTTTCCCTCAGTTGGTTCACATACATTATATTGCCAAAAGTATTGGGACACCCCTCCAATTCACTGGATTCAGGTGTTCCAATCACCTCCATGGCCACAGGTGTATAAAATCAAGCACCTAGGCATGCAGACTGCTTCTACAAACATTTGTGAAAGAATGGGCCGCCCTCAGCAGCTCAGTGAATTCAAGCGTGGTACTGTGATAGGTTGCAACCTGTGCAATAAGTCCAATTTTAATATAAAATTTTGCAAACAGGTAATTTTTCTCCTTCACTGATGTGCATTGATGGATGGCACTGCTGGGCACCGATCATCAGGGCACTGATCATCCATCACTGATCACTGACCACCATGGTGACACTGTACTGCTAGGGTGACAGTATGTAAAAAAAAACAAAAAACATAAATAATAATATAAAAAAAAATATAAAAAAAAATGTAAAAAAAATGTTTAAAAATTATAATTTTTGGTTATAAACTAATCTGGGTTTTTTTTTTTTTTTTTTACTAAAAAGATAATGGAATTAATTTTGGCCAAGATTTATGATGAAATATTATTTATTTGCAAAATTTTATAAGAAAAACACTTTTTTTTCAAAATTTTTGGACTTTGTCATTTACATAGCAAAAAAAAAATAAAAATCCCAGTGGTGAATAAATACCACCAAAATAAAGCTTTATCTGTCTCAAAAAAATGCTAAAAAATTCATATGGCTACAGTGTTGCATGACTGCGCAATTGTCATTCAAAGTGTGATCGCACTGAAAGCTGAACATTGGCCTGGACAGGAATGAGGTAAAAGTGTCCGGACTTGAAGTGGGTAAAGCATGCTTTCCCTAATCTTCTTTGTATGAAAGTGTCACCATTAAAGGATAAGTTCACCTTTTGGACAAAGATAATAAATGCACATTTTTTTTGCAGGTAAAAAAAATGTGCATCTATTTTTGTCCAAAGGAGCCTGTAAAGCATTACACCAGCGATCAGTAGATCACTGAGCAAATGTAGATCTCCTGCAGACCTGTCAGAATATCTGCTTAACATACGGGATGTACGGGTAAGCAGATATACTGAGAGGAAGCTTCAATGAACTACCACGGGGCTCCACAGCGCCATGGTAGTTCATTGAAAACTACAAGCCCACAGCTGCTAAGTCTGTTGAGACCTGTAGGCACTCAGAACAATGTGAATGAGTGACGCGGCCATGTGGGCAAAGCCTTGCATAGCCGTGCGGTCTTCAAATCTGACAGTAAGGGGAGTTTCCTCGCACTATCTGTCAGGGGGAGGGGGGGGTGTGGTTGTGGCTATGGGAACATGCAGGGGTGGACTGACAACTCATGGGGCCCCTGGGCAATAGGGGGTCATGGGTCCCCTGTGTCCTTCCCACACTCAAAAAAGCCTATAAAAAAAAGGTACCAGGGGCATTTCACAGGGCCCCCTACTGACCCTGGGCCCTTGGGCAGTGCCCGAGTGCTCGAATGGTCAGTCCGCCCCTGGAAACATGTTATATGTTCCACCCTACAAACAGATGGAACATGTAACATGTTCCAAAGGTGAACTTTTATTTTAATTATTTTTGGCCAATGGAATGATAGTTACTAAGAAAAAAAAGTGCTATACGGACATTTTAGGCGTTCCCATTGAAGACTATTGGAGACAAAAATGCTTGAAGCCTGAAATTAGTAGCTCAAAAGAAGCTCAACTACTTTTTCAAGTTGTAAGTAACACTACATTTGGGAATGAACAGGCACACATAGAAACCACTGGATTTTGGATGTTGAGTGTTTTGGAACTCTGAGCTTCAGCTACAAAATGCTCAGGTGTTAAAAGGGTCCTAAAGCTGAAATGTCAACTTCTTATATTTTTCTTCCCTGGTTCCTTCTCCTCTCAATATGTTAATGGATTTTTTAAATAAAACATTTCCATTTTACCTTAGTTTAAAATTCAGTGGTATCATGACTGGGTCCCTGTGCTTCTCTATTAACTGGTTACCAACCGTGCTATAGCCGAAGGATGGCCACAGTGTGGTTGTGAAATCCTGGGATGATGTCCATGGACGTCATTCCAGAACACCCCCCCCCCTGTGTGCCCCCAGCACCGCTGGTGATCGTTGTGTCCTACGGACACAGCTGATCACGGGGTATGGTAAATGACCAATCAAGGCAGGCTTTTACCACGTGATCAGCTGTGTCCAATGACACAGCGATCACCGGGTAAATACAGTTGCCGCTTATCGACTGCACTTTCCTCACGCTGTCACAACGTGAGGAAAGTACTGCCAAGAACCAGGCATTTGTCAGTGAAGGGATCGGCACTGATGATCTGTGCCCAGCAGTGCCGCCCACCCGTGTCACCCACATGTGCCACTCAGTGCCACCTCATCAGTGCCGCCTATCTGTGCCACCTCATCAGTGCCGCCTATCTGTGCCACCTCATCAGTGCCGCCTATCTGTGCCCATCAGTGCTGTCTATCCATGCAGCCTTATCAACGCACATCAGTGAAGGAGAAAAATTACCTGTTTGCAAACTTTTATATTAGATACAAAGAAAAACTTTTTTTTTTTCAACTTATTTGCTCTTTTTTGTTTATAGCACAAAAAATAAAATGCCCAGCGGCGATTAAATACCACCAATAGAAAGCTGTATTTGTGTAAAAAAAAAATTCATATGGGTACAGTGTTGCATGACCGCGCCATTGTCATTCAAGTGCGACAGCACTACAAGATGAAAATTGGCCTGGCCAGGAAGGGGGTATAAGTGACCAGTAGGCAAGTGGTTAAATGCAGGCGAATCATGGCTGGTGGGAGTGGAAGGTGCTCTACATAGCTTCCTGAAAACCATCACACCGCACTGCTTCAGTACTCTTCTCAAGAGCCCTTGGCCCTGATGGAAGCAGTGGGCTGGATTTTGGGAGGAGCTATGCAAATACCTGGTTGACCAGTCTGGAGGAGCTGGCATCCCTAGGAAATGCGCACATGATGTTGAGCTTTCGTGATTGAAAGAAACCCAAAGAATGGAAGGAGTGGGGGAAGTGCCCAGAAGGAGGAGTGATTTATATGCAATTACAGTATTTCTTCGCTTTCTTTTCTGAACCCCAATGTTTTATAAATGAACATTTCACCTGTGGAGAAAATAAGAGGACATTTGACTCTGCCCCATTCACACAGTAAATGTACAAGCTGTTTAATTTTTTTTTTTTAAATATAAATACAACCCAAAGTGTGGATGGGCCCTGAAGTGCTTTTACTGTAAGTAAATACTTCAGTGTGAATGATCTGGGCACAGGTGCACATTAACCTCTTCACGCCAGCCGAATGCAAATGTGCAGCTTCCCGGCGTCTGGGCGTCTTTCCGGCGAACATATGTCCTGAGAGCACGCTCCCAACACACATGTCCGGTATTCACGGAAAGGTCCCGATCTCCTCTTTCAATCGGGACCTTTCCTGATCATGTGACCGCCGTGATGGCGTGTCACGGCGGTCACATGACCCTAAACCTAAACCCTGCCCCGCCTCCCGACTTTTGAAACCCTTAAAGGGCGCGAAGGGGTTAAAGCACATTTTTTACCAAAGGTATAGTTGTCCAGGATCATTTACACAGCACATAAACATGTCTAAATTCTTTTTTCAAAGATTTTCAGCTAATATACCACGAATGTCAAATTTGTGTGGTCATAAATAAGGAGATTAGTACAGTTGGAACTGAAAAAAAACGTTGGTGAATGTTGCACTACGTGGTACATGTGTTCTTTACATGTGATAAATGATTCCCAGGCATATATAACGGTCACCTTCATCACTTTATTATGTCATTAGGTTTACATCCCCTCTCATTTATTGGGCAGCACAGTAGCTAAATGGTTAGCACTTCTGCCTGGCAGTACTAGGGTCATTGGTTCAAATCCCAACCACGGCACCCTGCCTGGAGTTTGCATGTTCTCCTTGTGCCTGCGTGGGTTTCCTCCCACACTTCAAGGACATGATGGTAGGTGAATTGGATCCTGTCTAAATTGCCCCTAGTATGTGTATGAATGTGAGTTAGGGACCTTAGATTGTACACAACTTGAGGGTTAGGGACTGATGTGAATGTACAATATATATATGTAAAGCACTGCGTAAATTGACAGCGCTATATAAGTACCTGAAATAAATAATAAATTAGGCCTCGCTGCAATACTGCTGGTCTGAGTTTTCCAAATACAATGCATCTCTGTAAGGAAAGGGGGTTCTGTAGCTGGCCAGCTAAGACCAGTCCTAGGTTGCTAATATGGTTCACATATATGTGTATACCAAACCTGCCAATAACCTCAGTACAGTGTATATGTGCACATGTTAAAGCCAAAAGCAGAATCATTGCTGTAATTTATGTCTTTGAATGTTATATGACATTTATATATTCATTGTGTTAGCAGAAGCAGAAAAGGAAAATATGCCTTTAACCACTTGCCTACCGGGCACTTATACCCCTTATTTACCAGGCCAATTTTCAGCTTTCAGCGCTGCCGCACTTTGATTGACAATTGCGTGGTCATGCAACATTGTACCCAAAAAGTTTCTTTGTTTCTATTATAAAATTTTTCAAACAGGTAATTTTTCTCCTTCACTGATGTGCGTTGATGAGGCAGCACTAATGGGCACTGATAGGCGGCACTGATGGGCACTGATAGGCAGTACTAATGAGGTGGCACGGATAGGCGGCACTGATAGGCAGCACTAATGAGGTGTCACGGATAGGCGGCACTAATATGCAGCACTGATAGGCGGCACTGATAGGTGACACTGATGATGGGTACTGATAGACGGCACTGACTGGCATCACTGCTGGGCACTGACTGGCGGCACTGACTGGCACAACTGCTGGGCACTGACTGGCAGCACTGCTGGGCTGCACTGGTGGGTGGCACTGGTGGGCAGCACTGGTGGGTGGGCACAGGTGGGTGGCACTGGTGGGCACAGGTGGGTGGGCACAGGTGGGTGGCACTGCTGGGCACAGGTGGGGGTGGCACTGCTGGGCACAGGTGGGTGACACTGCAGAGTGGCACAGGTGGGTGCACTGCTGGGCACAGGTGGGCGGAGCTAGTGGGCGCACTGCTGGGCACAGGTGGGCGGAACTTGTGGGTGGCACTGCTGGGCACCGATCATCAGGGCACTGATCATCAGTGCCTTGATGATCGGTACCGATCCCTGCTCTGACAACTGCCGGTTCTCGGCAGTACTTTCCTCACGATCTGACAGCGTGAGGAAAGTGCAGCCGAGAACGGGCAATTGAATTTCCCGGTGATCATTGTGTCATTGGACACGGCTGATCACGTGGTAAAAGGCCGCTGTGATTGGCCTTTTACCACATCACGTGATCAGCTGTGTCCGTAGGACACAGCGATCACGGAGATCGCCGGGTGCGCGCCCCCTGGGGCGCGCAGGAGAGCGCGCGTTCTGGGAGGACGTCGTATGACGTCCACCCAGAACTGGCCGGCCGCAGTGCAGCCGTCATTCGGCTATCTGCGGTCGGCAACTAGTTAAGAGTCAGTACAAGGTGAGCCATTCACAGCCATCCTCACACTGTACAGAGCCTTACCCAATCCCAGCCAGTTTCACATTTGTGCCTGTGTAAAACTCCCTGCTAGATTGTTCTAGAGTCACTTGCTTATCAGACAGAAGAGGTAACAGACAAAGTTCCAGTCAGAGAAGCTCTATGGAAGCGGAGAAGGCCAAATAGGTATTTAATGCACTTATGCGTTCCTCTATTGTTTAGCAGTGCAAGTGGATCTGTATGTAAAATCTGTTGTATGTGTTACTTGTAGTTCCACCAATATAATCCAGCAAATTAAGCCAATGTAATACGAAAGAAATAATCCACTGTAAGATAAACAAAACAAGCCATTGTAAGCAGTGTTATATGAAGAAGATTGAAGTTATTAAAGAAGTTAACTAAAGTATTCGGTGTGCTCTTTAAACCTACTGCATCCATAGAACGGCATTAGAGGAATTACAGAGTAAAATCAGTCTAATCAAACAAAAGAAACAGCAATTGCATAATTTTTTCTAATGCCACAGTGCACAAGGCACTACATAGTGCTGCGCCTGCCACAGGTTCCCTTCCTATAGCAGTGAAGTGCTTATATTTTCCTGGCATAAGACATCTGCTGCCAAACTACATGTTCTTCTAGTTCTGGAGAGATTGGGGGAAGATTTATAACCTCAAAAGATTTTTATTGCGGTGTACCTATTGAGCAATCAAAAATATCACACTCTAATCTCTCTAAAGTTGATCATTTGTTCAACTTCTGTCAAAGGGACATGTGGGAAAATCTCTCCATCAGTAGCTGCAGCCGTTGATCAGTGTATTCGGACAGCAGCAGGTGCTGCGGTCAGACTACAATGTTCCAGCAAGGGGAATTCCGTGTGTGTATGTGTGAGAGAGAATGTATAGTCAGCTTAAAGTAGAAGTATACCCACACCTTGTAAAACAACCTACATAGTTTAAAATAGAAATGAAAGGTAACATATTTGTGTATATATATAAAATACCTCTCTTTCCATTTTTATATAAGTGATCACATACCCTGTTCTCAGCTGAAAGTGAGAAACATCAGTACATTGGTCTTCCCAGTGAATAGCGGTGTAGGAATAGGGTGCCAGCACAGCTAGAGAACTGACGACGCTGTGCTCTCATACCAAGTGTGGTCAGTTTTAACAGGGAAGCAGAGGGACTGGCAGGAACATCAGGAATCTCACATAAAGGAAGCAATACAAAGAGAACAGGATACCTTTTTCTTTATACATGGTACATACAAATACATGGTACAGCAGGCACATATCAGGAATAGGAAATGCTGGGTTTACATCTTCTTTAAGGCCTTTCATGTTCAGATGGGATGGAAAGAGATATGTGAATACATTTTGTTTTAGAAAGGCCTTATGGTGCCCATACACTAGACGAAAAAGCGTTTGAAAATCAGTCATTTGGAAAGTTTGTTTTTCATCAAGTTAATGGGCACAAATCGATAAACATTTGTGACTTTTTTGAGCCAAAAAATTGAATAAAAAGTTTGGAAAACTTCTGCCCTACGAACGATAAATTGAAGGTTAATGTGTTTTCTTGTCCGTTAAAAAAAATCAACTGTTGGTACTGAGAATGTGTGAGAAAACTTTAACCCAGAAGATGAATATTCATGTCCATGAACGGTCATGTCTAAAATAAAGAGCAGAGCAAGAGTACACACAAGAAACCTCTTAGATTGTAAGCTCCAAGGAGCAGGGCCCTCCTAACCCTCTAGCATTGAACTGTATTGCTGCTGTATTGTCTCCCGTTATATTGTAAAGTGCTGAGCAAACTGCTGGTACTATATAAATCCTGTATAATAATAATATAATAACATATAACCATCGAGATAGGAAAGGTTTAATTTTTTTTTTTTGGTGTGAATGTTCCCTGAACACATTAAATTAAGAAAACTAGAAACCAAAATAATGCAATCATGAAAACTTTATTGCCTTTTTTTTTGCAAAATTTAGAAGCATTGTGAAAAACTTTATTGCATCTTTCCACAAATATTTTTTAAAATCTTCAAGAATGAAAACCCATTATTGTT